TCTGCTCTTATGCATGTCCATCGGTCACTTCATACTCTGTTAAAGCAACCGCTAATAGAAACACAGCCGGTGCGGCGCTGTCCTCAGGCCCTTCTCAAAGCCCCATCAGCATTGCACATCCCTCTATACTTAATAAATTCTATTACTTTGACGAATTAAAAATTAACCGCGTCACGGTCTCGGTTACGCCTGACTGACGTCTTACTTAGAGAGCTCTACGAGTACTCACTGCACTGTTATATATCTTCAATCGAATATTGCGTGTTGGGTTGTTATGACGGCGTCGCCTTAAAATTTTCGGTGATTTGATTGATTATATGTACTTAATATTGGAGGCGCGCGGTTTCCGCTTTTCGAAATGCTCAATAAATGAAAATTCCGGGCGCACCGACCATGAAGAGTGACAAGAGGGAACCGACACGTTCGGTCACAGTGGAAAATTCGACAAGCAAACCATCGAGGCGGTTGATGCATTAAATAAAACCGAACGCTGGATGTCCATTAGCGACTGTGTGAAGGTATTGATTTAAATTATATTTAAATTTATGCGGATACATTCAATATGATTAATGGATCATTAATATGTGCATCTGAATCGCACCAATGATTAACCGAATTCAGAACCAAATTTATAAAAATGAAATGCGCTAAAACTCGAGACCCGCAGAACCGATTTTGCTCATTTTGGTTTTGAAATATTTGTAACAGTCCAGAGTCAAGAAAATATGATGAAACAGTAAAAACAACAATTTTATTTGTCCACACGTAATGCATGTTCTCGTCAGTCTTAATGCATGGTATAAGTACAAAATTCAAAATGAGATAGCGCAACAAAGTGTATGAAACAAGAAAGCTATTAGTTAGACAACGTTTTATTACTTTATTATAATTGAAAAAGTAAGTTTAAAATAATTTTAAGTGAATACTTTAATGCAGCTTAAAACAGCTAAGCTAATGATAGACATAATGATATTCAACTATAAGAAGAAAAATGAGAAAAGAAAAAATGTTTTGAAACAGTTTGTATTGAAAATTCACCAATTTGTAACTGTCACCGACACCTTGAACACAGTGCGCCTCCCTAAAACCGTGCGCAATCGTTTTTCTATTACACCATATATTAGTTTATCCCCATGATCGATCAAGCCCCTCGCTCTTCTGCGACCTATTCACGTTTGCAACCGCACACTCAAAAATTGTAGCAACTTTTTCTTACGCTCATCGGCGTCTGCATAAATGAATTTTGTTCTCAGCATGCCGATGGTAATCGATGGCTGATATATTAGTTTTCAATTTCACGCCGTTTAATCATACTCTCGCACTATGCATGCCATCCGCGAGTATCTTCATAGCAATCTGCGAAAAGCGCCCCTAGAGAATGACGGAGCGAGTATCACAACGTCATAACCACCCTCGCTGGCACTGCTAAAGTTTAAACTTCAATACCGCATGATTGATGAATGAATTATTTTGATTATGTGTTTTTTATAAGTGCTGTATTCTTTTTTTTGTTATCATGGAAAGTATCGAATATTTATTTGGACGTTTATGCCATGCATGGCAAATCACCATTATTACCATCATTGTGTTCAATTTTGCGTGTCACTCATTTTCTAATCAATTTATTTTCGTTTTTTGAATGAAAATTGTAAGCGAAATGTTTACGGTTTTTGTTTTTGGGTTGAGCACGGGTTGTTTGGGTGCATGTTTTTTAGATTTCTCATAGGTAACATTCTGCAGCGGTAAAAATTTATTCCAATGGGCGAATTTCGCACAGGTACAACAATCCAATTCGAATACAAATTGGACATTCAATTGAATATTCAATTGGACAGCGTCTGTTGCGGCGGCGTGTATTTTCCACATCCGATCGACGCCGAACGCAGTCAAAATGTTTTTCTCTCCAAGGAAATTCCATGGCGGGCGCATACATAAAATAGCAATTTATAAATATTAAATTGCAATGCAAAATGCAAAATCATTAAGCAAAAATAAAAATTTGAATTATAAGCTTTAGAGCAGTTTAATTAAAATGTTTACAAATTATTAAAACTAAATTTCAGCTAATATTAATATTAAAACACTTCGCATCTCGTTAGAAGTTGAAAATATTGAATAATAATTTTGCACTGGCAAGCAGAGAGTATTCTTTAACAGGCTCGCTGTGTGCAGTCGAGATTAATTCGAAATAAACTTGTTTCAACTGCCAGTCGCAGTGCAAACCGCCGCCCTTTTCGTCCGTGCGCGTGTTATATTTAAAACTGTAATTAACTCGCAACTAAAGAAGCCTCGCGCGCGCACCAGCGACACGTTGTTTACTCGCTCACGCTTTATTTACAGAATGGATATTTAACGGTTCCGTAATTAATTAAATCCGGGCGCACGTTTATTAATATTGTGGGCGCACGTTTATTAATATTGTGTCGCGCCGAAGAGTTGCAAAATAATTTAATAATTGGACCTGCGAGGCGCAATAAAGTAAAATTCCAAATTGTATAATATCGCAGTTTGTCGAGTCGGGGAATATGATTCGTATAGGCATAGTGGATGATTGCGGGATAGACGGCATCCGGTCAAGTGTCTGGATATAACTTGCAACTTCGTTTGGCTCGAGTTCAGTCCGCAAATGGAAAGTGCGGAAATTACATCCACCGCCATATACGGAATGTTGCAAGTTGCAAATGAGAGGGATGTAATAATTTGTTGCCGTTCTATTAACACGTAATTTATCATCAATTAAATCTTAATAAATGCTTTAATTTTCCGCGTAAATCAAATATTTATCAAGTGAAACAACAAGTTTTATTTTACATTATACATGAGAAGATTGTGGAAGTAGATGCACCTGAACGTGGGCATAATTCAGGTCGTTATCAACTGCAAGACTGGGTTTGCGTTGTCATGCACCGGATGTGTGCATTTGCTTAGTGCATACACAAAGTAGAACTCGGAAGTACTTGTTAAAGTCATCTCATCTGATGATTACACAGAGATATGTAGCATATATTTTGTCGGCAGTCACGGTACACAACTTGACCTATATAAGACAATCGTATGAAGTTATGAATGTGCAAAATTATGCGAAAACGGATAGAATCAAATTTAACTAAATTTTTGCATCAATTATTGTTTAAAGACATATTTTTACATTGTTATGTGAGCTATGATTGAATTTAAGTTTTGATTTGTCAAAAGAATATGATCATTAAAAGAAATACGAATGAAAAAATCAAACGCTAATTATCAATTGAATCTCAACCGAGATGATACTTTAAAACTGGAAACTTTTCCACCGAAAAACTTTGTTTAAAATTCCAGAAATTGCCCTCTTCGCTCTAATGCCGCCAGCAACGACGACAAGAAAAGCTCTTAATACTTTCCTTCCCCGTTCTCTTCTTCTTGCTGAAAGTTGGTCCGCCTCCGAACACAAACGAACGCGAAAAAATGAGAGAAACGAATCGAAAGAAAAAATTATGTCTCAAACATTTCTAATTAATAGTAAAGTCACTCGCTTTGAATTCGAGCGTTCGCCACTCCTGGCGAGCGCCGTTTTCGTGCGCCATTATCGTGTTTGATTAAATAACAAGAACCAAACCATTGAGCGAAGAAAGGAACGCGCGTTGGAAATAAAAAAAAACTTTCCCCGACGATTATAATTCATCATCTTGTAATTGCCTCCGAGCACGAGCCCGAGTGGCTCTTTTACTTTTTCGAGTTTTCCTCCGTTTTTGTACGTGCGACACATGCATAAAAACGCACAATGACCAAACAAGTGAATAATAAAATAAAAATAAAAACTAAACATAATTTTAACCAAGTACAGTTTTGCTAATAAATATGTCTATGAGATATGATCGATTTAAGTTATTTGTTCACATAAACATATCACTTTTATGCATAAAAATATAATCAGTACAATGTTCTAATAGAGTTATTACCCTTTACAATAGATTAGACGTTTTAAAACATTCAATTTTACATTGGTTTGCAGTTTTATCGCCGTACAAAGGAAGCGTTTGTTTTATGTTTATGGTAGACGAGATAAGGAGGCGACAAAGGCGTCGGTTCCGTCAATATAAATCAATATCGCTGACATGAATGGAGTGAATCAATGCGCGGGTACAGCGAATGATTTCAATTAAATCTGTCGTTTAACACTGCGCAGCGATAGGCAGCGATTGTCATTGTTATTGTGATATGGAGTTAATTGAAGCAATTAGTTGTTTTTCTAGTGGATAATTGCTTTAACCTCTGGTGGTTCTATGATAACACAATAATGTACACTTGACAATAACCTGGTTGTGTTCATATGGTTAATATATTAACTAGATTATTTCATATTTTAGGGTAATAATTAGGAATTATTTTATGTGGGATGGAAATTTATAAATAGGAATAACATAATTAATATAATAAAATATAATTTTAGGTGAATGCTTCGTTTGCCTATTATTAAATAACAATTTAAATTAAGTTCAGGAATATCTCATTTAATTTATAGGTTTATAATAAAAATCATTAATTTTTCGTGAGAATTTTGATGAATAACATTAAATTGGCTTAAACGTGACAGTAACGCCACCTGTACATTATTATTTTAACCTCAATCAGCCGTTCTTATCGACTATTAATCGATAAATGCAAAATTTAAATTTATTTCACTTTACGTTCTTTCTTTTAATATTTACCTTCGTCTAGTATGTATAACGATGTCACGACACACACAAAATCCAATACACATCAAAATAAACATGCAACTCTTATCATAAATTTAAAAAAATGACATTGTATTTACCATTATCGTATAAGGTGCATCTTCTCATGCTGAATATACCTGCGATATGGTGGTTGTTGCTGGTGATGTGGTGGTGGTTGGCGTGTCGCGTAGCCTCTGCGTTTGTATTCCGTTCTTCCGTCGTGTTCCGTGCGGCGCGGAAATTACGGCGGCGTGCTGTTGCCGGAGCAGGCGCTGCGCGACCGCGCGTCAGTTCGTAATCGCCGGCGGTGGAAGCAGGTTCGCGCGTTGTTGTCGTTCTTTCGGCAGGCTCGCGCGTTGCACACGCTGCACACACGCTGTGTGTACGACGAGTGAACTTTACCAAAACGACTCTTGTTTGTTTTGCCTGCCATCGATCACTAATTGCATTCGATAAATAATAAACTTTGTTGCGCCTCATCGGTTCGCGTTGTTGCTGTTATTATGACGATATGGTCCTACGAATTGGACTGAAATTGATTCGCCTGCGGATTGGAGTTTGGAGTTTTCTGGAATAAAAACACACACAAAGTCGATTGTTCTTCTCGACGGATGGGTGGAGAAGGCTCGTTATAAAAGTGCAGTGATGCGGTAATGTGCTCCAAATGTTATAGCGCTTTTCGGATTATTCTGCAACATTAAGGTGAGCTTCATATTTTACCTGTCTGGCATGCGAATAATGTCTCGCGAGCAGAAAAAAATAACATTCAGGCCAGTCGAATAAGAAAACGTACAAACCGAATGGCACGACGAGAGAAATAAAAACGTTTTATATCATTTTAATTAAATGTCAAGCCCCGGACCTAGGGCGGTAGCGCTGCTCGTTCGGAACAGAAGAGAAAAAATACATCGCGACTCGAACGAACTTCCACAGTTCCACTGTTATAACGACGGTGACGGCGGCGCTGGAAGGTGTAGAATGGAAATTTCGATTTTTCACCTACCACGTTCGTCCTCGCCCTCGTACTTCCGCGCGGCGCCATCGCGACTCCACACACAATCATCAGTCGTCCGACAACGACTTATGCGAGGCCAGTCGTTGCCTTCGAAAAAGTCTACATAAAGTGCACGACCCCTAACACGAGGTTTCCCTTCGGTTTCTCTTTTATTTTTTCTTCCGAGTGTTTTCCTTGTGCGTATAATTAAGTTACGTCCTGGAAAGCTCGGCAAGTCGATAAATATAACGTGGCCAATCAGTCAAACAAAAAAAGTTTTTCCGCATCCTTAAATTCAAGAAAAAAATTGTCTATACAGTTGGATATCGGCCAAATATCCAAAAATAGAAAATGGAAGCATTAAATTAATAAGCGTTATTGATTCGCTATCCGGAAAGCAGATACAAACTGGGCATTGCGGGGATTTTGATTAAATTATTGCGACTGCAGCGGAGACACAACATCGCGCTGCAAATGCAAAATTGCAAATTGAAAATTAACGAATCCGTGGAACGCCTGCACACGGAACGCTGCGTTGGTCCACACAGCATTGCCTTATAATATAGCGGTAGCGATTTCATAATAGCAATAATGCATATGAAATGAAATTGTCATTGCGTTATTATTGCTTGATATTGTATTAGCTGCATTTCGTTGCACTTAGCGCAAATTGAATATTTAATCATATCGATTGTGCCATTTGTGTATACAGTACAGTCGGTTGGGTGAAATTTGTTATTTTAATTTGTAGATGCAAAGTGTTGTATCTATCAAAACAGCCTGTATGAGATTGATGAAAGTTCCACCGACTATTTTACAATGAAAATTTATTGAAGGCGCCTTCGGCTTGGTTCCGCTTAGTGGGTATTAATTTTACCTCAGGTCAAGAGTCGTTAACTAATTTCAAACTTAATTTATTATGGCAATATGTCTTCATATTTACATTCCTACAGTTGTAACATTTATGTCAATATTATAATATTTCATTCATTGCGTTGGTTGCGGTTTGCAAGAAATTACAATAATTGTGTTTATTAGTAGATATTTATTTATTAATGAAATTAATGTTAGTGTAAATTAATTGATGCATTGGTGCGTATCTGTTTTTATTAAGTGTAACAAAAATAATTAGGTTCTATTGTTGAGAATAATCATTTTTATTTAAAAAAATGATGAATGCAAAGCGTTTTCCATTTATCGTGTTCGTAAAATCGGGCGACATAATAAATAATAGCTTCACAGTGCTTTACACGATTGAATATCATTTGAAAATATGGCAAAAATATAATCCCGGTGTGATGGTGGTGCTCGTGTCTGTATGTGGTGCGGATTATTCAGAGGGTTTCGCAGAATATCAAATTTATATTAATCTTCGTTTTGTGTTCGGCACGTTCCGGTGCGCGTTTTTTTCCGCGCGCGCGTTGGGCGCATAGAGGTGCCACTGCTCGCGCTTGTGTGGTCTCAAAAGCGCCATAAATCTTTATAAAAACCCAATAAATTTGCTTACCATACGCGTGCGCATATTCAAAACTTCGTGCAGCCGAATATCAAATTGTTTTTCACTGCTCTTGTGCTGTATGTGGACCTCAATCACTTGGGGAACAAATAATTTATTTTCTTATCATAGATTATTCAGCGACATTGAATCAACAGATAAATATTGCATATTTCATGTATGAATATTCAAAATTACCAAAGAAAAATCAAATTTTTTGCTAAATTTCGATTTCTTTGTCCGCACATATATAAAATCATATTTACATTCTGTTGGGATAACTGGTACCTTAATTTCTGTTAACAATTACGCGCGCACACGTATAAAATAACGACGAAACATATCCGCGTAAAATATGGAATGCTTTGTTTTACACACAAAGATTTAATTATGAAAATTCCAAAGCGGCGGCGAGCGTATATTTTCACCCTTTTTGGGGAAGGCGGGGGCGGTGGGCGCCATCGTGGCGGCCGAAAAGCGCGCCGCTCGCGTGTGCAAGCCCTTCCGTTTCTTCGTTAACGTCCGACTGCGGTGTGTCTATATGCATGCATAGTTGGGTGGGTACATATAACAAAAATAAATACGAAATATAAAAGGTAGATGTGGACGTGGACGCTACGCAAATATGCAGCGGTTTTACATGGCGATACAAAAAATTTATCAGAAAACCAAATCTAATCAAATTAAAAATATTAATTTTTCAATTGCGCTTTTTATGCTACAAATTTTATCAGAAATGAAGAGAAATGTTCAAAATTTTAATTTAAAAAAGTTTTTTTGTGGGTTCAAGATTTATATAACAGTTTGTATATTTCCATATAAACTGCAACCATATACACATCACGCACACGTCCAGCAATATGGCGCTCACGCACGCAACACCGTCGAGTTGTGAATTTTTGGGGGTGTCTGCTGGGCCAGACTTGGTAAAATACACAAAGTATGCATACGCAAAATGAACGAATTTAATATTAATATGCATGTTGAAGTTGACGCTTTGTGAGTTTAATGCGAACGCCGACATGGACATGTGTGTCTACATTACCTCTCTCATCCGCACTTTTTAAACCAAGCCGAAATCCTAAGAGTTGCAAAAATTTTGTATAAAATATGCAAAATATTCAGAAACATTTGCGCCGCGGACAAAAGGAATTAAATATGAGCACATGAGCTGGTGCTGCACTGCTTTGGAGTGTTTTTGTTTCGTCGAATGTTTACTCCGCGTTTGATAAATTTACACAACAACGTCATGGCTTGCCGCATGCAATGACAAATAATGATAAATAATGTGTTGTTAATAGGCGCGCTGCACTGACTCCAGAGAACACTTCGAATGCATTCGATATTTACCCAACGATTGTTTACGAATGTGGTGGTCGTGACCACGGAATGTCAACACGGAATTTTTCACTTTGAGGTTATGCGCGCCAGGTTACTGACTCACGACATACACGACATACACCCATCGACCGATTAGACTAATCTTAAATAAATATATTATGTTTACATTTATGTTAGTCATTCCTAACAATCAAATATATTTTTAGCATTATTCAGAGAAACAGAGAAAACGCACCTGTTGAAGATTCACTCTGATTAAACGTAAACATTTTAGTTTACATCTAAAATCTATTTGCGAATGAAAATAAAAGTTAAACAAAACCAAGGAACTAATGCCTTCAGCAGCTAACTGCCCCTAACCTCAACATCATGACATGTTTTGACGACCGTAATAAATGTCAAGATGGCCGCGCGGGCACTCTGCGCGTCGAGTGTCGCAATTCATATTCGCGCTTATTACCGTCACAATTCCGTCTATTAATAAATTTATTAATAACACGCCGTCGTGGTGACTATGCGCATCATCCACCTCAAGTTATTAACAACGCATAAACAAGCACGGCGTTTAGGCTTAGCCAACTGTGCGCCATTTAGTCGATGTCAAATTCCCTGCAGCGTCTGTTTTCGCCTCGACTTTGTTCTCGTTTGTTTTATCCACCAGGAGCGCTTATTTATTATTTCGTTATGTTTTATTTCTCTCTTACCGTTACTTGGAATTACCCACATTTGTTTGTTTCACAACTCCGACGGGCACATCGTCAAATAAATGCCATAAATTTTTCCCATTTAGATGCTGCTCATGCTTGATTTAATTTGAGCGCGGCAAAAAAAAGTTTGTCAAGTTGAAGATGGGAATTGGTAATAAAAGGCAATTATACAATTAGAATTTGTGCGGTCTGAACAGCGGAATGCGAACTGCGACTATGTTTCATTGGAAGATAAATTATATTGTTATACGAACGCGTAAAAATTGGTATGTGTAAGTACAAAGTTTGAAAAGTTAAATTGCTTTCTTCCTGTGCACTTCAACTTTCCTTGTATTTTTCGCTGAAAGTGTGTCACCCGCAATTATTGTCCATGATTAGTAAGTTTAAGTTTTCGAAACTGAGTCAGCCAAGTACAGATTAATGCATATTTCAAGACGTCTCTCGCTTTATTGCGAATTTCGCAAGTTTAAAATTAAAGAAATGAGTTTTGTCTTTCCGAGAACAATAGAATTAATCCCGGCAACTTTTTCTGAGTAATAATCGACAGGAAGAAATAAAACCTACGTGCATTTCGCTGCAGCATACTAAAAACTTATATAAAAGAACAGTTTTATAATGTCAACCCTTATTAAAATTTATTATCGTGAGGCGCCACTTCAACGCGTGTCCTCTTTACAATTTCATTACGCACTTCTGACTTAATAAAATATTCCTGCACCTTCATCTTGGCAGCGTTTCAGAAGCGATAAAAAACTAGTCACGTTTTTTCAAGGGTTTATACGTGCATCCCTCGCTTGTTGTCCAAGACCACACACAGAATGGTGTGCTGTCGATAGGTGCGGTGGTGTGTGCCCCCCCGCAACACACTAATATAGTTACTAATGTAGTTACACTGAGGGCATCCGGCGATGTCGTGCGTCGCGCGAAACGAATGGACCGAAAGTCGCGACGAGCGAAGCGTGGGCATGAATATTTATCACTTCGGCACTCCACATTTGCACTCTTGGATTCACTTCGTGCCCGCCACTACAGTGCATGCGGGGCGGAAGCGTTATTGGCGCAGGAAAAAATGAGGAAAATGCTGCGCGTCTTTGCTTATGCATCGCCATGCTTTGCATTTACTCCCAACATCGTCGAAGGCTTGTTCTGCATCTTAAATCTATGG